TGGAGCCAGACACGGAGCTAGAAATAGGAGGGAGGCACCCAAAGCTGGAAAACTGCCCGGGCTGGGGGAGGGCAGAGGTGGGGGGCACCTCGCACCCCCCCGCTCCCCACCGCAGCCCCCCTGGGTGTGGGGACGTGACCAGGCCCCTGCACTGGGGCAGTGTTGGAGGGACAGTGACAGCAAAGGAAACCCCAGTGCCACCAGTGCCACCCAGTGCCGCCCCTCCAGGCTGCCAACCTGCCTGCCCTGGACACTGCCGAGCCCCAAAACCTCCCTTTTTTGGGGGGGGACAGGCTGGATCAACACCCCTGAGAGGCGGGGCGCGGGCCACGCAGGCTGGATCAACACACCTGAGAGGCTGAGCGCGGCCCTCGCCCTCCTCTGCCCGGAATTAACATTCCTCTGGGGATTTGGGAGGGATTTTTTCTCCCTTTTCCTGCCCATTCCCTGTGCTCGGCTCGGTTCTCTCCCGCTGCCAGGCCTCGGCTCCCAGCCGGGCTATTTCTGCCTCCTCCTCCTCCTCTCCCCGCCACCGCCCAGAGCCAGGAGGATCCCGTGTGCCCTGCCCGGAGCTGGGGAAATGCCAGGCGGGAATTTTCTGGGATGCTGCTCCCTCTGGGGGTTCGAGCTGCTGCGTTTTCAGGGATCCCCGAGGCCATGGGGGTGCAGCTTGGCCGGGCGGCTCCACAGGGAGCTGGACGTGACCCTTCCTCTTCGGGGTGTCACCTGCTGAAGGGGGTGGCTCATGTGGGACATTATCCCAAATCTGTGACATCCCGAATCTGTGACATCCCTGCCTGGGAAGAGACCTGAGGGGGAGCTGGGGGACGGGGGGGATGTGGGGTCACTCTTGTACCGCAGGGACCGAAATCTCTTTGCCTCGGTGGGTTTGGGGACAACGTGCTCTGGCAGCACAAGGAGCTGGAGCCAGGGTGATGCTTGGGATTCAGGGGCTGAGGAGGGAAGGGGCTCACTCAGAGGTGTCCCCTGTGGGGGTCCCTCCGGGCGGGCTGGGGACCCGCAGGAGGGGCTGGAGGTCCCAGCCCGGCTTGGAACTGCGGGATTTTGCCGGTGGTAAAATAAAAATCACAAATCCCTCCCAGGATCCTCGCTGGGACCCCCACCCCTACCGGCCCCGCGGGGACCCCCCAGCCCCTC